TTTTAATTGAAAAGTCCTTGGTTTTAAAAATCAAATACCATTTATTCATTTAAAAAAAGATTCTCGGTCTTGTCACAAGGTTTTGTCAAACTTGTTTAGTCGTTGAGAAAATGGAATTGACTCGAGAAAATTCAAGAGCGATGATTTATTATGACTTTCGAAGGGGCTTAACACAAAAACAGTGTGTTGATCCAAAACCACAATTTATCGCTGGTTTGCTGAATTTCAACGTGGACGTGTCAAGCTCAGTGATGATCCCCGTCAAGGTCGTCCAAAAACTGCAGTCACCCAAGAAAACGTTGATGCTGTGCGTAAGCTGATTGAGGAAGATCGACATGTGACTCACCGCGAAATTCAGGCAACTTTAGACATTGGCATGAGTCAAATACAAATAATCTTGCATGAACAATTAGGTGTAAAAAAGTTGTTTTCCCGATGGATACCGCATTCGCTCTGTGAAGAGCAAAAAGCGGCTCGCGTTACTTGGTGCGTCAGAACTCTCGAAAGATTCCACGCAGGATCCTCAAATGCTGTATACAACATCGTATCAGGTGACGAATCCTGGATATACGCGTACGAACCCGAAACCAAAAACCAGTCACGAGTTTGGCTGTTCGAAAAGGAGTTAAAGCCAACAAAAATTGTTCGTTCACGGAGTGTCGCAAAAAAATTGGTGGCCACGTTTGTCTCCCAAACCGGCCATGTTACGACTATTCCTCTTGAGAGACAAAGAACGGTTAATGCAGAATGGTATGCTAGCATTTGTTTGCCACAGGTCGTTTCTGAACTCCGTAAAGAGAACTGCAACCGCCGCATCATCCTCCATCACGACAATGCGAGTTCTCACACCGCACACAGAACAAAAGAGTTTTTAGAGCAAGAAAACATAGAATTATTAGACCATCCGCCGTACAGCCCCGACCTAAGCCCTAATGATTTCTATACTTTCCCTAAAATAAAGAATAAATTGCGTGGACAGAGATTTTCATCACCTGAAGAAGCTGTGGACGCCTACAAAACGGCCATTTTGGAGACCCCAACTTCCGAATGGAATGGTTGCTTCAATGATTGGTTCCATTGTATGGAAAAATGTGTCAAATTTCGCGGAGAATACTTCGAAAAGCAATAAATACATTTTTAAATAGTAATGTTGTGTCACTTCTTTGATTCCCGAAATTTTCAGTGCCGCCCTCGTAGGTATTCAAAATCAGTCCGGAGAAATCGGTGAACATACATAAAAAAACAAATATACATACAGCCGAACATAGAACCCCCTCCGTTTTTGAATTCAAATCAACTTCAGCTATTCCATACTTTTATGTTTTGTGGAATAAATTTCGGTCTATCTCCTACCAGTCATATTGTATGTAGGGCGGTAAGGTACGCGATCAAATTAAGTACGCGTACTTACCTGTTGAGCACAGAGCTTGTTGATTTTAGAAGCGTTGCCTGTCCTTTTGATTTACGAAGCCAATTGCATTTTTTTTAGTTTGTCCTTAATCTTTCTCTTCTATTCTAAAATGTATAAAATTATTTTAGTTGAATGAATGTAATACTCATCTCATCATCACCCACATAGTAGAGAGGTAGATACTTACATAAAAAAATAACAGCTCACTTCTATAAGGTATATGACTATGCAATATACATAAAAACATTGCAAAGTAACACAAACAAGTTCATTATGTAACTTGTCTTAAATGTACGCAAATATAGGCTATGAATGAATGAACACTCCTGCTACTACTATTGTAGTGTGCGTAAGAATTAGTGTAATATGTTGTATTTGTGTTATTCACGCTTGGAGCCCGGAGGGAGGCAGAGCGTGCGTTATGAAACAGATAGCAGTGTTGAAAATACTTACTCGCGCCGCGTATCGGCACTTCACAATCCTCTTAATTTATCCCTCACAAATGATAGTTAATATATGTCGGTGTTGCGGGACCGTCTGAGCATGTATCAAGTAGCATCTGATTAGCAAAGATTTTATCAATAGTAACTCTAAAGGAAAAATCACCGCTGAACGGTTGAACCATAAAGCTCTTAGTAGCTTTACAGAAGAACAGTTATTCCCGGAGTACACATATCGTAAATTTTACGCTGAAGTAACCAATCATATTATTGATTTAACGAAAAGTGTATTGAAGAAATATGTTGACACGAGTTGACATTTATATTTAAAAATCACAAATTGGAAAAAGAACGTGCAGTTAGGAGAATATACGCAAAATTAATTAATTTTAAAAATCAATAACAGCACTTAGTAAAATAAATATAATAAATAAGTGTGAAAATCTTTTTTATTCCCATTTCAATCTATCTGTACTGCCTCGTAGTGCCTCGACCTCGAGTCGAACTATCTTGCGTATTTCCTACGAGGGCTTTTTTATGTTAAAATTCAACAAATCACTAAAAGTTTATTTTAAACTCGATTAGTTTAAGCTTGAATTTTTTTCAAACTTGGCATTTATATTTTATCTGAGTATACTGCTTGAAGATGTTAGTTTATTTAAAATTAATAACCATTATAATACATTTCTCACTTGCACAGGAAAATTGAAGTCACAGTCAAAATCTAGTTACTGATACTGAAAGCATGTAATAAAAAAAAACGAAAAAACATCAATATCGATAGAAAGTTAGAAAGCATAAAGTCATTACAACGCATGTCCTGGCGATCGTGTTCGAAATCTCTTCGGAATACTTTGGAGTACTTGGGAGCTATCACAACTCCCCCCGCACTGCAGCTAGTTGACAAAATTATTTTCTTTTAAATTCACATGTATTACTCCTCTATAGGGTTAAGTGCTCGTAGAATGATGATGACGATGATCATGAAATATTTCTTTTCATTAATATTTATTTAAAACTGATTTCTAGGACCCTATAAAAATAGTCAATTCGATAATCCAATCCATATCATAGTAGGTAGCTATTTTTATTATTATTTTTAATTATTTTACAACAAAAATAGCGAATAATGACGAGTATGTAAACACCGATACTAATAACAAACGAGCTTTTCTTTTACTCGTGCAAAAAAAAAATCCGACACAGAGTAGGAAACAGGCGAATACTCGGGCTGTGTAGCGATAACACCCGAACAAGTCGTCTACATGCTTGTACTCGTGCCTAAGCGTCTGTTCTCGGCGAGTATCTAAACGTTTATATACGTGGTAAAGCTATGCTGCAGATATATATTTGTAACACGAATGGATCAGCTCGACCGGGGAAGGACCACGCTCTCACAGAATACCAGCGTAAAATAGCAGCTTAACACTGCTGTGTTTCGTATGGTGAGTGTAGAGAACCGTAGACCCTTTTTACTGAAAAAGAGGCATTCCATCTCAGTACTCGCGGGTGACAACGCATCTGCATTTTGATTTTATATTGAGGATAAATGTAAATGTCTATGGGCCACAGCAACCACTTACCATCAGGTGGACTGTGTGCTCGTTCTACACCCTATCCTTTAGAAAAACGTTGTATAACTAAACCATATCCTTTGGTAGAGTTTTGGTGGAAACTTGACCGTCCCGTCGTTTGATTGCTGCTCCTGTATTTTTGTTTAAATAATGGTTAGAAGTGAATTGTGATATTTAATAATGGTGCGATTTTGTATATTAAATGTTTGCACATGTGACTATTAGTGGAAACGGTGAAACAAGTGCTTGGGTGCCTTGAGATATAATCGTCAACAATCTGCTGGCAAACAAGTTGCTGTTAAAAATCTCCCGAAAATTATGCTATGTGAGGCATCAACATATTGTGAAGCAGTGTACTAATAAAGGATTATTATCACTTGATACAGAAAAACTATAAAAACGAAGATTCCGAATGAAATGAAGACATGGCTTACAGAACAAGCATCCAAGCCAAAAATCTTAATAAAAATACTCTCTGGTAGTGTTATATTGGTTAATATACTCTTTGACCCAAACTGACAAAGGTAATTTTGAGAGTTTTGGCTTTTGACGGGAACTTGACCGGCGGTGGTTTGCTGCTCCCGTATTATTGTTTAAATAATGGTTTGAAGTGGACTTTGATATGTAAAAGTGGTGCGATTTTGTGTGTTAAGTGACTGCGCATGTGAACTATTAGTGGAAACTATGAAACAAGTGCTCTGATGGTGATGTGATTCTCAAAATAAGGTGTCTGTCTGCTTAGGCGCCTTGAGCTACCATCGCCAACCGTCTGCTGTCTACTGGCTCAAGTTGCCGTCAAAATCTCCCAAGGGCTGCACAATGTGACGCATCAACATATTGTGAAGCAGAATAATACGAGGGAAAATAATTATTTTATATTGTTACTTCAGGCTCAGAAGGGCGAGATCCCAGAGCCGTAAAGCCAGTCATTAAAAAGAAGAGGTAATTTTGACAGGTATTTTTGGCGGGAACTTGCCCAGCGGCAAATTGACTTGCTGCTCCTGTATTATTGTTTAAATAATGGTTTGAACTGGATTTTGATATGTAAAAGTGCGCATGTGATCTATTAGTGGAAACTGTGAAACAAGTGATCTCTGATGGTTATGTAATTCTTAAGATAACGTGTCTGTCTGCTTAGGTCCCATAAAATGCCATCGCCAACTATCAGCTGTCTGCTGGCTCAAATTGCCATCAAAATCTCCCATTATAAATTGTAACTTCAGGCTCAGAAGGGCTAGAATTCAGAGCCGTAAAGCCAGTTATAAAAAAGATAATGACAATAGCTCAGAGTCAGAAGGGCTAGAACCCAGAGCTGCGAAGGCAGTTTAAAAAAATATAATGACAATTTTTAAAAATATTGTTTTTCAACGGCTTCAACGGATTCATTTGTAAAATGCAGTAAAATGTAAATGTTGAATTGTGTGAATATCTAAATGTTTAATTTGGAATACTTCTAGTTTTCTGTGAAGTTAATTACGATTACTAAGTGTTTTAAGAGTTCATAGTAGATAATGTGTCGATAAAAATTGTATTAGTGTATCTATTATTTATTATATGAATGTCTACATTTAAAACATGAGTGCAAACAAAGAATCGACTTCAAACAGCATCAAGTTTACACCAATGCCTATGTCTGCGTTGCTTGCAAGTCTGATGCCCTTACAAACTCAGCCTGATACACCTGACTCCAGTTTTTCATCTCATAATAGTGATAGTGATGACTCTGCTTGTGAAACAGTTGCAAAGAAAAGTCCGATTCAAAGTAAAATCACTAAGCATTCGACCCCACTGCTCAAATCACACAGTAAAGAAACCAAAAACGTCACTTCGGATAAGAAAATACACTGTGACAATAAAGAGAATTTTGATGAGAATTGGTCAAGTAGGACTTACCCAAGTAAAGAGAATCGCAGTATACAAAGCGCTAATAAAAACACGAAATTCAACCCATTTATAAATTCAGATGTAAAAAAACGATCTGTATTATCTCTACACGACAACAATGTTAATAATATTATATCACAAGAAAGTAATATAGGCTCAGCCATCAAAAAAACACCAGAGGTTTCAAAACCTCCAAATCATAAAACTAAATCTGCCACTCCTAAGATAAAATCTGGTATTCGAAAGTTTACACCAGGTTCCTCACGAATGAGTCAGAAAAAAGCACATTTGCAGAATGTTGTACAAAACAGAGATAAAGTTAGATGTGAGTTATTTGGTCAAAGTCAGACTAAGGAAAATCCAATAAAGCCAGAACAAATGGCACCACCATTGTCGGCACCACAATCAACACCTATTCCAATACCTGCAACTCCAGTGAATAGAAAACAGATTCCTGCACCTTGTGTTGCCACACCTTCTTACCCACAGGGTGTGATAGGCAATGGTACAAAGATATTATTTAAAACCACTAGTATAAAAGACAAGAAATATATGTATATTAAAAAATTAGGCACAGGCGGTTCCAGTGAAGTTTACAAGGTAATTTAATTAACATTACTAATTTTTTGTATATAATTTTATAATATAATTCATACCTAATTTAATTCTTTTTGTATATTACTGTGTATTATATTGATACCTTGTTACTGTATACCTCCATCTGCTGTATGCTTGAACAGAGTGCATACCCAGTTTTTACACAAAGAGAGAGCCTTAAGATAAATAGCTGAAAAATGTTATCATCTAAAATAGACGGTAGATTTGTTGTCGTGAAAGCAAAAATAATGGTTTAATCAGATAGACTTTTATGCTAAAAATATATATAAGAAATCATAACTTAGTAGAATAGGCTTTCCAGAAATTTCCTATTTAACAAGCTTTATATTACAATGATAAAATTATAGTTTATAAATAATTTTCAATAAAACTTAAGCTTATAACCTGTATACACAATTGAATAGTTAATGACTATTTTTGCAGGTACTTGAAGTTGGTACATCAAAAGAATATGCAGTGAAGTGTGTATATTTAGCTACAGACCAGGAGCTGGCTCAGGGCTACATTAATGAAGTGAGACTGCTGCGTGAACTGCAAAATTCAGACCGTGTAATACGCTTGTATGACTAGTGAGTATCTTACTTTGTAAAGTTTTTTTAAATGGGAAAATAAAAGATTGAATGGAAATTGCTTAAATTAGCAAAATATACTCTTAATGTTGCAGTTTTTTTCACTATGTAGTGGCAGCATAACAGAATCTACTGCAGTATCATGCTATGGCATGGGTGTTGTAAGCAGTGGCTTAGCTATATAATCAAGGGCCCAGGGCAAACATGTAATTGGGGCCCTATTTAAAGTAGACTAAATACTTTAAAGGTGCATAACTACTTCATTATCAGCTCTTTGTCGACCACTGCAGGTCATAATAAAGCAAAGCTACTTACTACTAGGTATAGAATAGTTATAAGTTATAACTCACTGTATTTCCAGCATTTAGTACAAAATAAATTCCTATTACAATAGTGCTAAAATTTACTTCGTTACTTGAAATTAAGTTAAAAATATTGATTTCATAACTGTGGGATTTAATAATAAAGGAAAAAAGAAAGGAAGGAGAAAATAACAATTTTAAAATATTGTTTTATTAAATTAAATTTTACAAAAGGTGTTCAAAGTGGCCACCAGGTTAAGGTCTGGTGATCGTGGGGGCCACAAAATTGTCCCTAATCGCCCGATCCATCTTCTAGGATACATTTCGTCGAGATAGTCTCGAACGCTACGGGCATAATGGGCGGGGCAACCATCGTGCTGCAGCCACATTCTTCTTCTCTCTTCTAGCGAAACATTTTCCAATAAAGTGGGGAGATTGTGTCTTAAAAAATGTAAATAGCTCTCTGCGGTCAATGTTCCTGGTAATTCGAATGGACCGATGATGTTGCCGTTTAGGATCTCAGTCCAAAGGTTTATTTTTAATTGATAATGGGATCCGTCTTCTCTCACCAAATGAGGGTTGGTGAGCTGCCAACTGTGCAGATTGTGCATATTAAAATATCCGTCTTTTTGCACGTGGACTCGTTGCTACACAGAATTTTATCGAAGAACGGGATCATTGTTCAATTTTCTTAGCATGTTTTCGCAGAATTCAACTCTTGCGGGATAGTCCCTTGGCAGCAAACATTGAACGCACTGATAATGAAATGGGTGTAAATTCTCTCGTTTTAATATCCTATGCACTGTTCTAGCCGATATGCCTGTGTGTCTTGCTATGGTGCGCACAGAGGTGGTCGGATCAGCTGCGATTTCATCATGTACATTCTCTTCATTGTGTACTCGTGGCCTCCCGGAGCTCGTTCCGCCGATACCATTTCCAGGTATTCTGCCTGCCATGAATGCATTATGCACGCGAGTAAATACTCGATAATCGGGATGGCGTGTGTTAGGGAATCTTTCCCGATACAGTGCTGCAGCTCGATAAGCGTTACCACCACACTCGCCGTAGATTAAATGCATTTGGGCATAGTCAAAACTTGTATATAGCTGAGGCATTGCAGTTAATAGAAAATCCAAATCACGAAGCAAATCAAGTCCGAAGTCACAGCACAAAGTCGTTACACCAAATTAAAAAGTCCAAATCGATAGGCAAAATAAAGTCCAAGATCACAACATAAATCGATGAATTTCAATCCAAAGCAGGGTAAAACGATGTTGCTCAGGAGTAGTACGATAGCACCCTGACTTAAAAAAACGCTTAGCCCACAAACCACAAATATGAAAAGGATGTCTGTTATACGAGTGGGTCACTAATTCGTCTTTCTTTTTCACTCATGGCATGAAAGAGCAGGATAGATGTACCGTCGGTTTATTGTTGCTAGTGTACGTAATCGATCTATTCCAAGAATTATATTCTCTACCTAGCAGAGGGGTCGTTTCTGCGAATTCAATGGGTTATACAGGCCGTTGTTCCAAACAATTTTAAAAACAAGGTTTGCATTAAACTAGGCCTTTGACTCATTGTAATAGGAATTTCTTTTGTATTAAATGCTGGAAATACAGTGAGTTATACCATTTTGGAAACCTTACCTTAGTGCCAAATTAAGAAAAAACAGGCATGTTTTTTCTTAATTTGGCACTAAGGTGGCCGTATTTTTTTTTACACCACGTTAGGTTAAACTTAGGAAAAAAATAAGCAAAACATGAAATTTTAGTTGTCTTTGTTTAAAAGAAAAACTATGCATGCGCCTCAAAAATCATAGTTTACATTCGATAGCGCTTCTATCCAGGAATACTATCCAAAAAACAGATTGAAAAATTCCTTCATTTGGAGTCTTGCCACGAAAAAGAGTGGCAAAGGATGTAATCTTTTTGAATTTCCGAAAATGTCGAATTATTTCGAAAACCAAGGGACTTTTACTAAACATGAAACATATTTTTCTGAACCGCCACAAAGTCCTCTACCCGCAGGTACGATATTATCCATTCATTACGCCACATCCTGTATATTGGTAGCACTGCTGTATGATTTACAAATTTGTTAGGTTATGTTATGTTTGATTTTAATAGCGCTTTTTTCTGCAATATTTATGTTTTGCACTGTGATTATTCTTTAATATTGTCTTTTGCTGTCACACTTAATAGATTTTGCGTTGAGACGCCACAAAATATCACTGTTTGCACTGCTATTGGTTTTTAATTGCGGAGGACGTTGAGGGTAAGTGTTGATTGTAAGACCACCGGAAACGAAATAAAAACATGTCAAAACACGTGTGTCTATGTCATCCACTTACCATCAGTTAAGTGTGTGCTTACTTATCACTCTTATTCTGTACTAACTGTTCCCCGCGATTTCGCCCGCGCGAAATTTATTACGATTGGATTTCAACTTATCTTCACGCACAATCCCTAACGGGGTAGCCAGAGAAAACAGATCGCCAAGTGTCACGATCCTTACAAACCTCTTTCGCTTCTTTCAGATTCATTATCTTCTTCATGCATGCACGTCTAGGTATCCGAGTACTCTTGACCCTACCTTCTTCGAGCAATTTGCTCACATGGTCTTCGAAAGTTAGTCTCGGTCTACCTCGACACCTTTTAATATTAACTTGCGCACTATATATTTTCTTCACCATTCGGTCTTCACTCATTCGCTCAACGTGCCCAAACCACCGAAGCACGCCCTTATCAATTTTTGTGATAAGGTCATCTTTCAAACCTGCCATATTGCGAATCTCTTCGTTTCGCTTTCGGTCGGCCATAGTAACGCCGCACATTTTACGAAGAGATCGCATCTCCACTGCATTCAACTTACTTTTATGCTTCTTCTGGCACTGCGTTATGTATTGCAAGGCGTGTACTCTTCGCTACGCCTTGCCTTTTGACTAACGCAGTCAGGGCACCATTGACTTTGTTCCCGGCAGCGACACGCCTGTCCACATCTAAATCACATCTTCCATCCCGGCTAAAAGCACTCCCCAAGTATACAATTTCATTTACCTGTTCTAGACATTCCTGATTTACCCATATTTCACACTTCATTCTCTCTTCGTCCCTTTCAAATACCAGAACCTCAGTTTTATTAGCATTCAAACGGAGACCTTTAATTTCACATTCTTCTTTCATACACGTGACTAATGCCTGCAGTTCTGCCTCTGATGGTGCAATAAGCACTGCATCATCAGCATACAGCAGACAATTTACTTTTATGTCACCCAATTTCACACCCAAACAGCTATCTTTCAGCTTCTGTAAACAGCTGTCGAGATACAGTATGAACAGCTAGGAAGACATGACACAACCCTGCTTTACGCCCGTTTGGACGTTAAACATGGGTGACAGGTCATGCCCTACCCGCACACAGGCTTTACAGTCACAGTAAAGAGACTGCACAGCCCTTAGCAATCGACCATCAACACCATACCCCGGCAACAGTTCCCACATTTTCTTCCTTACAACCTTATCAAATGCTTTCTCAAGATCCACAAAAGCACAGAAAATCTTCTGGTTAGCAGCCAGAAGCTTCTCCGTGATCATGCGGAGAGAAAACATTTGATTCGTGCATCCTCTTCCAGGTCTAAATCCGCAATGTGCCTCCCATAGAAATCTTTCCGATTTCTCTTGCATCCTACGTGTCAAAACCTTCGGGTAAACTTTACTTGCTAAACTGGTCAAGCTGATCGCCCGATAGCACCCGCAGTCAAAATGTGAACCTTTACCTTTATATAAAGGCACAATGACTGCGGATCGCCAATCATCCGGGACATCCCCCGTCCGCCAGCACAAATTGCACAGCAGACGGAAGTTGTCCCAGACGCGAGGCCCACCATACTTGACCATTTCAGCAGTAACTCTGTCTAGTCCCGCAGCCTTACCACATTTCAAACTTCGAATCGCACGTTCAATCTCTTTCATACTGATGACCTCAGTGTCATCGAGGTCCGGGTCTGGCGTACCAGTCACGGCGTCATCCCCGGATCCCTCAAGATCATCACACGCATACATTTCTCTATAAAATTCGCTCCATCGCTGCATGACGTCCGATTTTTCTGAGAGGACGTCATTAGTTCTTGAAAGCACTTTGTTCATTCTTAAGGCCGTCGCACCACTTCGGGTCCTTCCAACCTCTTTCCAGAAGAGTTTGGAGTTCTCCTTAAGGCGCAGGTTGAGCAAAATGTCGCGCTAGTCGTTATTTGTGCGGTTTTTAGAAGCTATCTACTTTTTATTTAAAAGATATATCAACAAATAAAAAACACATTATATTTCTACATAATCTTCCATAAAAGCTATATCCAATTTTTTTTAAAACGAATAAATATTAATATAATCTCCTTACAACGAAACCACATAAATGTGAAATTATTATTGATAACATGGATCTCCTCGTAAAGTAAGTATTATTTTATTTTGCGATTTACACCAATGGATAGACAATTTATTAATAAACATTTCTATAGTAAATTTTTTTTCAAAAGACCAAAATTTGATTTTATTAAGAAATTATTTTAAAATCTGGGCATATTCACTGCTCACGGGCTTGCTAGAGTCAGTGAGCCCTGAGCTCTTCGACGCGAAGCCCGTGTCGTTAGAGCGTCGACCAGCGCCGCATACACTCACGTAATATCAGTCGATAAATAATATTACTTATTAGGTTATTTATAAGTAGTATTATTTGTTTGTTTTGGGTATAATTTTTCGTATTAGTTATACATATATTTGTTGTGTTTTTTACTGCGCGATGAAGCTTTTTGCGTGTATTTTCTTTGAAGTAAATGCAAATAAAAAAATGAAGCACCATTGGCATGTAAGGTTCGAATCCATAATTAAAATTTCGATAAATATTATAATTTACACTATAAAAGGCTAATTCAATATTATCACCCAACCACAATATCTTATTACGTACAGTACTGCCTCGTTGGTCTAGTGGTTGTAGTAGTGCGACTGCTGATCATTAGGTCCCGGGTTCGAATCCTGGGTCGGGCCCTGTCAGTTATGAGTTTTTCATTTATGTTCTAAGTTATAATTAGTATTACTAAGTTATAGTTTTTTGCTAAAATATAGTATATTATTTATTGCTTGTTTTTTCTTCTTTTTCAAAAAATAATTGAGTACATAAGGTGTTCTATACTTATAATTCGGTAAAAAGTATCTAAGTAGGTACTAATATACCTACTTTTTACTACTAAAAATTTTAAAACTAAATTTAACTAAATAGACTAAACTGACCATTTATTTTTAACTCAAAACAGGACATGGGTTTATTTATACTCTAAAAACTATAACTTTATACAATTAGTGTTCACTGTAAAATTATATTCGGTATAGACGGTAATTATTAAATGCAACATATTTTTCTTAATTATTAATTACATTTGTCAGTGGATTAAATTTTCTTTAATAAAGTTGGTGATGATTTTAAATAAAAATAAAATTCTGCTCAAGTTTTTTTATTGTTATCTTTGTTAACAACATCGCCTTTAGAACTCTGGAACCGTAAGTGTTTCTTTCAGACGTCCACAATTTATTCAAAATAAAAAAAATACTCTTTCTACCGGAGCATTCGTAGCAGGTAGACATAAAATATATTCGATTAAAAAAAATTATGTTGAAGATTGTTGACTTTGAATACTTCCATCCAACGAGTTACGGGACAATTTTGTGTCCCGGAGCTTTGTTTGGGGACAATGGGACAGGTGACCGAGAAAAGGGACAGTCCCGTTCAAAACGGGACGTGTGGTCACTTTAGCTATAACCCGGCGACGGCTACGTGGGGCAGTGGCTTAGCAATTAGTTGTTGCGCTGGGGGCCGCGGGTTCGAATCCCGCACGGAACAAGTATTTGTATGGCTTACAAATAATTGTTCCGGGTCTGGATGTTTGTCCTTGTGCAATTTATGTTTGTAAACTGCCTCCACGACACAGGAGAAAATCCTAGTGTGGGGGTAACGTTTTTTTACAATTGAAATTGAAAGATTGAACCCTTATACTTCTTGTTGATTTTTGTATTAGTACTCGTAGTTAGGTATATTACTTTTCAATACGTGACACGTAAAAATTAACAATAATCAAAAACACATCTACGAAACATCCTATTTATTTATTTATTCTTTCTTGCACCAAATATTTGTACAAAAGGCGAGCTATATATTTATTTACCTATAGTGAATAGGTATCTTTTAAACTCACAATTTTCAATGCTTCATTTTTAATATATAATTAATTATAAAATTTCATAATTAGATAATATATGAAAATACATAATTCTAATATAATGCAACTAATATACCGAATAAAAAAATTAAAATACATTTATCGTTGTACGCTGTGTGTATTTCCATAAATTAGTTCATTGATGTTGAAAAAATAATACTACGTTCGTACCTACAATAGGTGGTGGCGTCGTACATATTTCAAATAAGCAATATATTGAGGCGAGCGGCGTGCCGCCGGCAAAATGCTCAAGGTCGTTCGCATGGAGTAGCCCCTTAAAGTTGTGCGACAACCTTTCGTCCGCTTCCATTCTACACCTTTCACGCACTTCCTCAATCAGTGCTTTCGTGTGAACTTTCTGCAGCCTATATCTTTCTTTCATCTTCTCTCTCATATCCTTATCATTACTAGAGGCCAAGTAGTCTAACCATGCTTTCTTCTTCTTCTTTACAGCTTCTTTCACTTCATCATTCCACCATGCATCTCTTCTTTTACTACTGCCTCTTTTTATTGTTCCACACACTTCTTCCGCTGCACTTACCATTCCATCCCTAAGGTTCTGCCATGTTCTTTCTACACATTCTTTTCTGCCATCGATGGTGTCATGCTTTTCGGCTACCCTCGCATGATATTTGTCCCTAGTATCCGCTTCCTGAAGCTTCCAGCTTCGGATGCGACAGACCGACTGTGGTTCTGTTACTGCCGTCCGGTAGCGCCAACCCGCGAACAGACCCCTAAATCTAGTAATCACTAGATAGTGATCCGTTCCCAGGTCAGCACCCCTGAACACTCGCGTATCCATCACCTGTTTTCGCAGTCGGTCATCCACCAGGAACAAATCGATCATACTTCTCTCATTCTTTCGTTCTCTAGTATACATATGGATTTTCTTGTGATTAAACATAGTGCTTGTCACAAGCAGACCCTTTTCCTTGCACACCGCCAGTATAAGCTTGCCAGCATCATTAACCCTTTTATCGCCAAACTTTCCAAGTACCGACTCGTACCCTGGTCGAGCGGTACCAACCCATCCATTCAAATCCCCACATACAACAATTCTTTCGTTTCCCCTAGCCAAATCTAGAACTTCTCTTACATTCTCCCAAAACTCCTCCAGCTCAGCCCTGGACGATGAAGCTACCGGCGCATAAACAGCCAAAAGGAATAACTTCGTCAGTCCCAATTTAAAACGAACCCAGAGAAGTCTTGAGTTCACAACCTTATATTCAGTCATAACATCGACCAACCGAGAAGACAGCAGCACCCCCACTCCCTGGCAGGCGTTCTCGCTCTCCTGGACTCCGGACCATAGAGCTAACGCCCCGCCAGGGAGCTCTTCAGTACCACTGCCCTTCCGTTTGGTCTCCGACATACACACGACATCTAATTCTCTTTCTTTCATTATTTCGATCAACTCATTCGTCTTATCTCTCATGCCTCCTCTAACATTCCACGTGCCAACTCTGCATTCTGTCCTCCACCATACCATTGGATTTCATAGATTTTAATTTTTTGTGCGGAACCCTAATTCTTTTTCTAAAATAAAAGTAGCCCAAGTTCTTCAAGACAGAGACAAAAATTTTTAAAATCGTGTTTTTGTACCGTATATACTTTCATATGCATACATATAGTAAAAAGCTGTTATTTCGACATTACAAACATACACTTCAATTTTATTTATTTGTATAGATATAAATAACAAACCTACAGTCGAATTGAGAAACTCCTTCCTTATTGAAGTTAGCTAAAAAGAACCATTTTATTTTTAACCGTTTCTTTCAGACCCCCAGTTGTCAGAATATTATCAGTCTTATTGTCAAATCCCAAAATATATTCTTGAATTAATAAAAAAAATTACTTTTCCAGTAATTATTAAAATTCATGACATTCCAGTGAATATGACCGCACGAACCAAGTGCTGCGCATGGTTCTTGAAGTAGGCGAGGCAGATTTGTCTTCATTCTTGCGAGGGCGCGGCGCTGGTTTACCGCCTGCACTAGTGCTACACTATTGGGAGGAGATGTTGCTTGCTGTTCTATATATACATGAGCATGGTGAGTTATTTTTGATATTAACTCAAACCATATTTAGTAAGATTGGAATTCTTAATTGTGTACAAAACATCCAAAAAATTGTTCCACTTTATCATGATGATGACAAATCAATATAATGTATTATGTACATTTATGTGAAGTAAGAATATGCATGGTGAGCAAGATTTACTTCGCGCCAAAATAATAAATAATTATTAAAGTTGGCAAAAAATTACTTTGCGTATATCCGCTCGACAAAATAAAATGATGTGTATTACCTAGTTTGAAGAGCACCTCCCGCCCTCCCTCAATTGCGTGCATTATCTCCGTCACCACTAATCCCAGCACCACTACTCCCAACCCAACACCACTACACCAGGAAAGACATACCACTGACGGCAATACGACACGTGTATCGCCTCTACACGAGGCATCTTCAGGTGATATAGACTCTACGGTGGCTAACCGTTAAGTGAGCGGCGAGCCAAAACAACTGCTATTTATACAGACCGCTTACGCAACCGCTCCCTACTTAAGGAGCGAGCGACTGCGTCATGCGATAAAACATGCGACCAATCACCGCCGAACTTACGCAGCCGTTTGTAAAATTAAAAACAAACCGCCGCGCAACGCGCATATTGTTATCTTTAGACGTTGATAGTCTTTTCACAAATGTCCCATCCCCTGACTGTTTGCGTATACTCGCAGATCTCTTTGATAAACGTCGTCTACATCCCGGGGAAAAAAAAGATCTTAACTTAACCTCTCTCTGTATGAAACAAAACTATTTCCGTTTTAATAACCGTTTCTATCTACAAAAAGAAGGGTTAGCTATGGGGTCCCCTCTAAGTCCCCTTATGGCGGACATTTTCATGGATAATTTCAAAAAACAACATATACGAGGGCGGCACTGAAAATTTCGGGAATCAAGGAAGTGACACAACATTACTATTTAAAAATGTACTTATTGCTTTTCGAAGTATTCTCCGCGAAATTTGACACATTTTTCCATACGATGGAACCAATCATTGAAGCAACCATTCCATTCGGAAGTTGGGGTCTCCAAAATGGCAGTTTTGTAGGCGTCCACAGCTTTTTCATGTGATGAAAATCTCCGTCCACGCAATTTATTCTTTATTTTAGGAAAAGTATAGAAATCATTAGGGCTTAAGTCGGAGCTGTACGGCGGATGGTCTAATAATTCTATGTTTTCTTACTCTAAAAACTCTTTTGTTCTGTGTGCGGTGTGAGAACTCGCATTGTCGTGATGGAGGATGATGCGGCGATTGCAGTTCTCTTTACGGAGTTCAGAAACGACCTGTGGCAAACAAATGCTAGCATACCATTCTGCATTAACCGTTCTTTGTCTCTCAAGAGGAATAGTCGTAACATGGGCATGGTTTTGGAGACAAACGTGGCCACCATTTTTTTTTGCAACACTCCGTGAACGAACAATTTTTGTTGGCTTTAACTCATTTTCGAACACCCAAACTCGTGACTGGTTTTTTGTTTCGGGTTCGTATTCCAGGATTCGTCACCTGATACGATGTTGTATACAGCATTTGAGGATCCTGCGTGGAATCTTTCGAGAGTTCTGACGCACCAAGTAACGCGAGCCGCTTTTTGCTCTTCACAGAGCGAATGCGGTATCCATCGGGAAAACAACTTTCTTACACCTAATTGTTCATGCAAGATTATTTGTATTTGACTCATGCCAATGTCTAAAGTTGCCTGAATTTCGCGGTATGTCACATGTCGATCTTCCTCAATCAGCTTACGCACAGCATCAACGTTTTCTTGGGTGACTGCAGTTATTGGACGACCTTGACGGGGATCATCACTGAGCTTGACACGTCCACGTTGAAATTCAGCAAACCAGCGATAAATTGTGGTTTTGGATGGGGCTTCATCACCAAATGCAGAAATCATCCGATCAACACACTGTTTTTGTGTTAAACCACTTCGGAAAGTCATAATAAATCATCCCTCTTCAATTTTCTCGAGTCAACATTTTCTCAACGACTAAACAAGTTTGACAAAACCTTGTGACAAGACCGAGAATCTTTTTTTAAATAAATAAATGGTATTCAATTTTAAAAAAAACCAAGGACTTTTCAACTAAAAAGATTTTAATATGACAGGAACAGTGGAAATATTCCCTTCCCGATACTTTTAGTGCAGCCTATGTAGTTGTCAATCAAAATATATTATTATAAAATAGCATTTAGCCGCGTACAGGAATTGCAATCCCGATAAATCCCATTTTGCCAAACATCTTTTGGACACTGGACACAACCTAGCCAACGACCACTCCTTTAAAGTCTTACATACGTGTAATAAAGGACTGCGGCTGTGTGTGCTGGAACAGTTAGAGATATTAAAAAGTAATAATAGTAAGTAGCGTTGCACTGTTGAATGAACAAACAAATGTTGCTAACTTACCTCTCTTAAATATCTTTAAGCCTGCTCTCTAATAATAGAGAGCCTCGCAATATGGTCGTTTGTCACCCCCACGGTGACCGGCGATTAGTTGCGTGGTTGGAGGGTAGGCAGGCGTTGCGCGGCGGTTTGTTTTTAATTTTACAAACGGCTGCGTAAGTCCGGCGGTGATTGGTCACATGATTTATCGCATGACGCAGTCGCTCGCTCCTTAAGTAGGGAGCGGTTGCGTCAGCGGTCTGTATAAATAGCAGTTGTTTTGGCTCGCCGCTCACTTAGCGGTTAGCCACAGTAGAGTCTATATCACCTGAGGATGCCTCGTGTAGAGGCGAAACACGTGTCGTATTGTCGTCAGTGGTGTGTCTTTCCTAGTGTAGTGGTGTTGGAAGTAGTGGTGCTGGGATTAGTGGTGACGGGAATTAAAGAGTAGCTCTTTAATGAGTCTATATCACCTGAGGATGCCTCGTGTAGAGGCAAAACACGTGTCGTATTGTCGTCAGTGGTGTGTCTTTCCTAGTGTAGTGGTGTTGGGAGTAGTGGTGCTGGGATTAGTGGTGACGGGGATTAGTGCATGCAATTGAGGGAGGGCGGGAGGTGCTCTTCAAACTAGGTAAGACACATCTCTTTTTTTATCGAGCGGATGTACGCAAAGTAATTTTTTATCAACTTTAATATATGAATTTTACTAGAACATGAAAGCGGTTCGGTTTTAGGCGTGATCCACGCGGACCTGAAGCCGGCCAACTTCCTGCTGGTGTGTGGGCAGTTGAAGCTGATCGATTTCGGCATCGCGTCGGCGATCAGCGCCGACGCGACGAGCGTAGTGCGCTCACAGGCGGCCGGCACCTACTCCTACATCAGCCCCGAAGCGCTCATGGGCGGTGCCGGCGGCTACGGACGTGCGGACGAAGCCTCCACACCACCCATCAAGGTACCTTCCAGCACATCAAGGAACCCTCCAGCACGCCGGCACCTACTCCTACATTAGCCTCGAGGCGCTCATGGGCGGTGCCGTCGGCTACGGACGTGCGGACGAAGCCTCCACACCACCCATCAAGGTACCCTCCAGCACATCAAGGAACCCTCCAGCACGCCGGTACCTACTCCTACATTAGCCCCGAGGCGCTCATGGGCGGTGCTGTCGGCTGCGGACGTGCGGACAAAGCCTCCTATATATACACACTGCAGGCCAAAAGTTTAAGACCACCTTAATTAAAGTAGGAAAATTAAATAAAACTGTAATAAAATATTAAATGTTTAATTAAACTGTTAAATCATCCAATAAAACACTTTTTGACTTTCTTGACTTGAAATATTAACAGTCCATGCTAAAAAAAGGCTATAGTTAGCTAAACTGATTTTTCATCAAAAAATCCTCCTTTGCATTCTATGACTTTTTTCACAAATCTCGGCATACGGGCAATCAATTTGTTGATAGTGTCTTGTGATATATTGCTCCAACTTTCGCACAAAGCATTCCACATTTCTTCTCGCGAGGATTAACCACAATTTCGGACGTTCCCATCAAGCTCTTTCCACAAAAGTTTAATGTGATTGAGATCCGGGCTCTGAGAAGGCCAAATCATGTTTTTAACACCCCTAGTGCCTCTTTCTCTTCCAAATATCCTCTGCATAATTTTGAGCCATGCTTAGGATCGTTGTCCTGTTGGAAAATGAATCCATCTCCAATTAATCACAACCCCGAAGGAACGGCATTTTGTTCTAAAATTTTTTTGTACTCTTCCTTTTTCATAATTCCATCAATTTTGATCATTGCCAGTTCCTTGGCTAGAAAAGCAACCCCAGACCATAACTGAGCCACCACCATTTGTTGCGACTACACAGTCTAGCATCGTTGGTCACTGCGTCGAATGTAAATTCTTCGTTTTGAACTGAATAGCTTAAACTTGGATTCATCGTTCATTTTTTAAAATCTTTAGCCTAATCTCGATGGGCAAGGGCCCATTGCTTCCGTTTCTTCTTGTTTTGTGGCCTTAGCAGAGGTTTTCGAACGGAGACACGACCATACAATTTCGCATCTCTCAGTCGCCGTTTTACTGTAGTCAATGATAAAGGTTTAACTCGGATTTTGTTTACTTCTGTATCGAGTTATTGTGCCATGAACACAAGTCTTCGATAACTTCAATTGTAAAGCAATGACGTTCCGATTTGCCTTCATTATGTAAAACAACGATGGCAGAACGTACTTCACTGCTAATTTCGCGTGATTTTCCCATTTTAAGACGTTTAAGTCGACACCGCGAGAAAATGCACCTCCTTTCATCGAATAGTATAGGACTATGAAACTACTAACGTAACTGGAATTTTGATATAGGTAAATTCATGTCTTTATCTTGAATTTGCTTGTTCAAAAACACGATTGTATAATTTTGACTCGATCATTTGCGAAAACACCTCTAAAAAATCACTATAGTTGAAATTACAACGAAATTACTTAATCTATATGCTTGGAAATTACTCAAATACATTCACAACATCAATATTCGTAATTTGCTTGCTCATTATTTTGATTACTTAAATCAATAAATTTTTTAAAATATTTTAAGATTATGACGATTTCTAAGGGGTCTTACTCGTCGCGGGCGCTGCGCAATTTTAGACCTTATGGTGGAGTATTTTAAGTTTTTATAGAAATTATGTACTCACTCGGTTCAGTCCGGCGATAGCCCGCTTTAACGGTGGACCTGCGCAAGTCGTTCACTTGTGCTCTCTATTCTAATTATTTAATTAATAACAGATATACCTAACTTTATTCTTGTATATAGCTATAGTTGTAGAATAGGTTTATTATTATTGGGGTTATCTATAAAGTTTTCTCATCTGATTGGGTTGTTTAAATATATAATTATAAAAGAAATATATAAACATACATAAATATCAATAAAATAGTATAAATACATAAAAAATACATAAATATATAAAAAAACCCAACCAGATGGAAGCCCCTCGGCAGGGGAGACCAAACGGCCGAGGGTTAGGGGGAAAGGGAAAGAAACCGGCGGACGATGCGGGCGGTATCGAGGAGCACCGCCTTCTGCATTTGAGCTTGGAGCGGTCCGTCACGGAGTCCCAGTCGCCTCAGATGACCCGAGAGGCTAACTGGGATTAACCCGTTCGCAGAAACGACCACAGGAATAATTTCGGCCGGCAGACCACCCCACATGTCGGTCACCTCGTGAGCCAGGTCCAGATATTTTGTCAGCTTATCTGTTTCGGCTTTCACGAGGTTCTCGTCATACGGAATGGTAATGTCGATCAAAAATATCCTTGACTGTGCCCGGTCCATCAGCACAATATCAGGCTTATTCGCAAGAATAGTCCTGTCTGTGATGATGGCCCGGTCCCAGTAGAGCCTGGCGCGGTCATTTTCGAGCACGGCTTCCGGCAAGTACTTATAATATGGCAGTTTCCGATCCACGAGACCGTATTTCAGAGCGAGCTCCTGGTGTAGAATCCTGGCTACTAGGTTGTGTCTGTGCAAATACTCAGAGTTAGAAAGCGCCGAACAACCGGAGATGACATGCCTAAGTGACTCACCGGGATGGCGACAAGCTCGACAGATGTCGACGGTGCCATCCTTTAGGATGTATCTCCGATAATTGTTGGTCTTAATAACCTGATCCTGTATTGCGCAGACAAAACCCTCAGTTTCCCCAAAGAGGTCACTGAAACGTAGCCAGTGGAGGGAGGCGACTGTGTCTACGAAAGGCTCATGAAGGGCCTTGTAGAACCTCCCGTGGAGCTCCTTCTCTTTCCATACGGTCTCCCGGTCGGAAATGCTCTGTACTGCCGGGTCTTGCCATTGCTCGTTGGCTAAGGATAGAGGGGTTAGCCCTTTATCACAAGAAATAACGTCCCTATAGTATGGATCATCCGCTCTCGTCAGAAAGTAATTACGGAGGCTGCACACTTCGCGATTATGCATGATAAGCGCGCTTAAAAAGCCGCGCCCACCATGCTTTCGCGGCAAGTACAGCCTCATTACTGACGATCTCGGATGATGCATCCTGTGGGACGTCATTATAGTGCGGACTTTTCTGTCCAGAGCGTTCAGTTCGGTCTGAGTCAAAGGGAAAAGAATAAATTACTCCTTAAGACGTTCTTACCAAGCACGACCGCAAGACCCGCGATTTACTCGTAATAAACCAATTCGGGATCCACATTATGCAACAAGAAAGAAGAATAAAGAAAATGTACATAATGGCAATAAAAAAGAAGAAGAACAAAATAACATTACAAGTGTAGTTACAAATTCTGTTATACAGTATAATCAGTTTTAAAAATTGTCTTAGTGTTTCAATAAATAAATAAATATAAACTTGATTTCTCTTTTAATAAACTAACATAAAGACAACAACAATGACATATACAACTACATGTTATTATACAACAAGACAATAAATAATGTAATTGCTTTTCTATAAATTGAGATCCATGCTCGACTCAGTTAAGGAAACACCAGACTTATGCAGTATACAGTAAAAAGTATACAGTGGTACTACCCTCCCAAAGACTGGCTGAATAGACAGGTGTGAGGTCGGTAGCCTTATATGGTAATAACGATGGGTCAAAAATGGGCCTCGACGTAGGCTTTGGAATTTATGGGGAACGCCCCAAATTCAAACTTAGTAGGAATTTAGGTAGATGCACCCTTATCTTCCAGGCCAAAACTTTCGCCATACTTCAGTGTGCGGAAATCAATTTGCAAAAACAATATGTTAACCATATAATCTATATTAACTCTGATAGTCAAGCAGCACTTCAAACTTGGTAAACTCGAAGCTAGCTGCGTGAACCGTCTAAACGCCCTGGGATGTAACAACAGGGTCGTTTTAAGATGGGTTCCGGGTCACACGAGTAGGCAATGAAATTGCCGACAAGCTCACACGGGAGGGCTCAAAGAGTACACAATTTGTGGAATCTCAAAAAGCCTCGCCCGATTGACCCTGGAAACTCTTTACAATAATTAAACGTAATTTTTTCTTACGTTTTTAATGTTTAAAAAACATTAAAATACGTTAAAAAACGTATTTTAATGTTTTTTAAAAAACGTAAGAAAAAATTAGTGTGTCGCGACTCCCAAGCTTTCTTGTTCTTTTCTGTTGACCGCGCGTCGACCCCCGAGTGAGCATTTGGCGCGACTTTAAAATTTTGGAATCGAATGACGAGTGCCGCTAGCGGCGCGCGGGGGGAATAGGCGGAGCCATTTTAAACGTTCATTTTCAATGTGTCGTCTTAACTGTAGACACCACAAGTTTAGACTAATTGAGATTGTTTGTGAACAAAACCATGTAAACTCAGGTAATAATAAGTCGGAAACACGTGTTTTAGAAGCTAAATAATCCTAATTATTGACCAATGGGAAACAAAAGCAAAGCAATTAGTTATTAGCCCATCATAAAAATATTGTTACTCTACCACCTGGCTCTAACGCAGCGCAGGGTTTGTCGGTGTTTGAAAACAATACAACATGTTTATTAATATTTAGATATTCGATATTAATAATAGAATATGCAAGTGTTCATTTCTTTTATTTATCTTATGGGATTTCGTTACAATTTATAGATAATTATGTTAAGTGTGGTCTTAAACTTTTGGGCGGCAGTGTATATGTATACACATGCGCACACAAATACGTAAATACAAAATTAATACATACGTTTAAATACGACTATTTAACAATAATGTAATTATTTATTTTGGGGTTACTGAAAAAATGTGTTGTCCCTGCTAATATCGATATACTTTTATTATAATATGTTTAAAATGTTTGTGTTACTGTGTTGACCAGTGGTAAAAGCTTAACCGGTTCACTGCGGATGTGTCTTTTTTTTTTTAAATCGTTAACTCGCTCAAATTGCGTTTTTGGAAAATTTATCCAGAATAAAATATTCATTATTTTGCAAGTAGTTCATGCCTGCACCTTCGTTTCTGGATATTTAGAAAATTTGAATTTTTTAGGGGTTGACAACCTTTTTTTAACTTGTACGTGGTACTCTTTTTACTTTGTGGGTTTTCAATCATGTTGTGGAAAAATAGTCTAATAAGTAACAAATAATAGCACTCATTGCGATCGCTCACAAACTCAAGTTGTAAATAAATTTCTGGAAACAAATCTCCTGTTAAAGAAAAACAATGCGTTTGTCGTATTGTTTAATTTTGGCATTAAAATGGTTGAACTGCCGTCTTATTACTATCATATGGCCGAATAGACCTACGAAGTACCATGTGCTCTTGTGATATGGTATAAGGTTTATTTTTGCTTGAAAGAGTTTGAAACCGTTCATGCATAAAAAAAGTTCGCTAATAGTCTTTCGTCAATCCGCCGCCGTATAGCGCCGGTGTTTGTTTCCTTTTGAATTGTTTTGCTACTCTTACTAATTAGACGTTTTCAAATCGACTTTACTTTTACATTTGTGTAATATTAAATAATACTTAACTTTTGTAAATATTAATGAATCATAAACCTTATTTTTTCCAAATTAAGGTTCTTGATTGTTTGATATTTACAAATATTATTATTAGGTGGAAATTTAATTTTATAAAAACCAAGGTTTTCAGAGTGATTTAGCTGTACCTACTTATATAAATGATTTTTTATAAAACAAAAAATAGTACAAAAGGTTTGTAATCTCTGCGTATAAAAAAAAGTAACTTACTCTCAATTTCAAAGAAAACACGTAGAAAAACACGTAGTTACCCACTAAAAACAAGTATCCTTCCGTTTGTAAACTGATGTTTGATGTCAACTAAACTTAATTAGGTCTAAACAAGTGAAAAAAGCATAAACAAAGAACATTACTTTTACACATGGCTGATGGCACAATAGGCGTGTCATCAACTTCTGTGGAAATATTTGTTCGCCGCCACAGCTAAAAGTTGTCGAAAATTGTTGCCGCAACGAATCGGTTAATTATATTATTTAGATATTTTATTGATTATTTCAGAATCATAATTTCAATTTATTTTTATTGTTCCATAGATCTCATTTCGTTCAGACGTGTGGTCACTAGGCTGCATACTGTACAGTATGGTATATGGTCGCACGCCCTTTGGACACATACCTAATTTAGCGAAGCTAGCCGCCATCCTCGACCCTAACCATCGCATTGATTATCCACCTGTTGACCGTGAGTAATTGTCTTTTAATCCATTGACCTGATCTTCATTTTTTCTAAGTAAGTTATCATTTTATACACAATCATGTAATTAGTTGAAATGGATCAGAACAAAGAAACAAGTTTCCAATCATCAATTCATGTGCCAAATGTAATATTACAAAACCGAAACAGCAGTCACCATCATAGCCTCTCACAATTCCACTACTGAGCATAAGCCTCCCCAATGCCACAAAACGAGGTCCTCAGCCACATGCAGCGATCAACTTCCTGCATGTCTTTCTCTACCTGGTTGTCACTCAATCTAGTACACTTAAGGCTAAGCGTCCACTAGGCTCGCCGAGCTGAGTCCAATCGAATCGCAGAAAGTCGCCTCCTATATATTTACTATGAAACTGCGTCCATTAGCGACGAGCCGCGGCGCGCCGAATTGAATCGACCGCGCGAATTGCTTGACAGGCGAATTTCATCGCCGATGCGATTCGATTCAACTCTGCGCGCCTCAGTCGACGCGGAGAAGTGGATGCGCGCCAGCGTATTTTAATTAATTTCTATTTCTTTTTTGTACAAATCTTTTTGTTTAAATAAAAATAAATGAAGAACTGTGGATATCACTGGTCCAACAATATCCAGAATTGTTTAATCATGGAGATCCACATTATCACGATGAAATAAAAACATCTCTTCATCCTAGCTGTCCATGCCACAAATACGACCTATGTTGATGAAGAATTTGCGATGAATGATAAATTCGATTCGATTCGTCAGAGATGGACGCACTAGGAACATATGCGACTCGCTTCGATTCGACGCATTTCTGCTGTAGTCGACGCCAAGCTTAACTCTGCTTACCAATATAAGGCTACCCACTAGACAACCAATCATCCCTATTGGTTGCTATTTAGCTCTATATAAATAGCAATATAAATAATAATACAATTATAGAGTAAGTAAGATATGACTTTAATTTTAGAAGCTTACGATTATTGGCTTAGGTATGAAACAAAAATGAGCCACCAAGTATAAAACCAATGTATATGATGTTGGAGCCCATGTTTATAGGACATTAGACCATAGAAGCTCTAATGAAAGCCAAAACCTATGTAAACCTGCATGAAATTGAATTCTCACTCAAGTTATTAAAATCAATATAATTAAGTGGTTATAATTTTAATTCATATGGATGAACTCGTATTTAAAGAGTTCTGACAAATAATAAATCTAAAAGTTATTGAAGAAAAGCATGTCTAATTCGAGTGACATTGCATTTATTACTTTCAGATTTGCCACCATCACTGATAGGGTCGCTAAAATGGTGCTTGACATATAACGCGCGAGCGAGACCGTCAGTGCGTGAGTTACTATCAGTGCGCCACTTGCAGCCGCCGCGAGCGCCACTACCGCAAACGTTGGTAGAAAAAGTACGGCCCCACTTAACACCCGAAGAGATCAGGCTGCTTCAACGGGCACAAGTATAGTGTAGTGAACTTAAGATGAAAGCGCCAGGGTAACCCGCTAAATTCAAATTTTCTTAAGTTTTTTGCAATTTGTAGGCCAGTGTCAGGTTGTATGTTTAATAAAATACGATTCGATATTGTGTTAAACATTCAACTTGGCCCTGACCAGCAAATTCCAAAAAACGTAAGAAAATTTGAATTTCGCGGACCACCCTGGAGCTTTCACCTTAAGAATACAAGACCCTTATGTATATTTTTTATCTATGAAGAAGAACACTAGTTGTAGGCAGGCACATGTGTTGTGAAGCCACTGGTCATCGATGTTGAGAGCTCTAACTGTACTTGTTTGTACAGTAGCAATAATTATTTTAATGCAGATATTTAGATTACATAGATAGTGATTTATTGTGAACTTCTCTAATTCTACAGTAAAGTATTATATTTGTTTTTACTATTGTAATTTTAGCTGGTTGGTGCGAGAAATAAACTGTAAAGAACCAAAAATTCTATCCCTTAAACCAGCTTCCATTCCCAACTCTGCTATGGGTGGAATAAGAGATGTCGAGTTATGTTTCATTTACGTAATTTTTCTTGTTCTACTAATGCCCGCCACGTACATACGGAATTCCGTTTCGATATTCCGATTCGAGATTCCGAACGCAGCAAGTTCATATAAAATATATGGACCCGTCACACGTACGGTAGTTTTCCATTCGAAATTTTGCGGGCAAAGCGGGATTCCCTTTGTGGGTGGCCGGCCTAAGTTGGTACCAACATGAAAACATGTAAAGAATCACATTGTTCAACAGTTCAGCTTAACATCCATTTATATTTATTATCATAATTTTAACCAAACTTACATAGTGGAAGAGACATCGCATTTCACAACAAATTCATTTGAATGAATGTTGTTTCTCTTCACATATACATATAAATAGGTAAATTTATAGCTCAGGACGAATCACCTCATTTTCATTAGACAACCAGCAGAATGTTATTTATTCATTTCATTAAAATTTAATATGAAGATTATGTAGTCACATTAACCTTGTAATAGGTTATATAGAGTATTCGGTGACTACATATTATAACATTATAATATGCAGTCATGGAATTATTTGTAATCATTAGAGTTTATTATTACACTTGTAGTTTACTCAAGATTAAATTAATTAATAAGCATTTAAAAACTAAATGAAATACAGGTCTCAACAAGGAAACTATATTGAGATATAAGGAAAATGGTCTTATGGTTAAATATTAAATGCAAAATTTTAACAATTTGACAAGAGTCGAAATTTATCAATTTACCACTTATTTATGAGTACCTAAGAAACCTGTATGTCTAATGGAATATAATGTAAAATATACTGCAGTTGTTGATGATAAATGCGTAATTGTATACAGTACACAAAGTCAACAAATCTTGAATGCACTTTTCAAAGTGCTTATTTATCAGTATATTATGTAAAAAATTAGTTTGCATCCACATGACGTAAGAAACTTCAAACTGATACTAATTATGATTTATTCTTATACCATTAAATTGATATGCATTTGTAGTTATGTATTTTATTATCGAAAAAGAAATTAACGAGAATTTATGACTGACTGTTTTGTTAATTTGTACAGTTTTATATTGAAAGAATAAACAATATGAAATTTAAATAAATGTTTATTAATTCTATATGTGAATACAAAAAATAAATAAACTTAGCAAAGTGATTAACTCAGACAGTAAAATATTAATGATTTATAATTATAATTTCTCTTAAAATTACAATACTTTTTTCCTTATCTAGCGAATACTAAATGTATGGTGAAAAATATTATTATCAGGTTTGGAAATTTTGAAATCTACTAAGGCAGAGTTGAATTTCATCCGAAATCGCAGCTTGGGAAGCTTCTTATTCCTCTGCTTATTTCAGAGGAAAGGAATTCATACCCACACTAATATATACCCAATGGTAAACTGCACTATGTAAACCAATATTTGTCTGAAAATGGACATGCAGTAAATATTCAAATCGAAAGCAACTTGCCCAATTCTCAAAACTAAACAACACGTTTATAATGTTACATTAAATGCAGAGTTGGAAAATACATTCAGTCTGTCAAATATAGACAACGGTCAAAAGTTTAGCAAATATTAAGCGAGTATCCACGTGCAACTTCCGTCCCGCACAGTACTTTATAACTACTAGGTGAGGTTTAAAAGAAAAAAGCAAGATGTTGCAAGCTTAATTTAATAAGATAAAGTTAGTACTGCGCGGGCGTCCGCCGCTTGCGGACGTGCGCATATGTAATTAATTCTGGAAGAGAGTGCGCGTGAAGTCGATGTAATCAAGACCGTTGGGGATAGGTCGCTCGCTCTTCGGATCGACGTAAGGCTTCATGCGCGCGACGCAGTAATCTGCCATCTCCTTTGTGAGATTCTGTGAAATAAAACCAAATATTTATTTATACAGATTAAGCAATGATCCTACTGGTTAAATGAAAAAAATATAACGTAAATTCTATATGTTAAGGAGAAATATTGTTTGTCCAACAATGGGTAAAATTATTGAAGGGGAGCATTAACACTTGTACAAGATCAATCAATCAATGATACAAAAACAACAAGTTTTCTTATATAATACTGACAGCATAGAGCTCTTCTTTGGTGACGTATGAGCGATCCTGGTGCGCGGTGATGGCGCGGAACGCGTTCTCAATTTCCTCGGAAGAGTGCACGTTCTCAGTTTCCTTGCTGATCATAAACGCCATGTACTCCTGCAGTGACACCTGTCCGTCTCGATTCGGATCAACCACATCTAAACACAGAAAATATTAATCACTAACCTTTTTTTAATAATATCAAGCTAAACAATTCTACAGTAATACAGACTGGAGACGAGAATGATAACTACTGTTATGTTTTTTAGTGTAGTAATTTCACAAAAATTGCATGTTTATAAAATTTATGCATTATATACTATCTATATAGATACAGATTGTCCCAAAGTCGACGTCAAGCCGGAATCTGGTGATAGGACAAATCATAATAGTAATGAGAAAAATATAAAAAAAATCTTAGTCATGTATTTTTTTAATTAAAGTACCTAATTTTTTTTTTTTTGAAAAATTTACAACCTGTGATGGTTTTTAGCTCCTTTAGCTACAAATCTTTACGTTTTTTCGTAGTAGATCCAAGCCAGGCGAACCCGGGGTAGGTCGCGGGTCGCTAGTGTATAATAGGAATAATTTAAGGTTTGGTGAGTTTGTACGAAATATCTATGAGAAGAATTTCACAATTATAATCATTGTGCATATATGTATTACCTAGAGAGCATTCCTTAATAAAGTACTATTGACATGACCTTAGAATGATATTTAGCAAATCTTATTTTAAGTATTTTAAAAATATTATTGCATATTTCAATTTAAAAAATAATACTGACTGAGTATAGCCTCGAACTCAGGGTCTGGCTGTCCCTCCTCGACCATGGGCAGATCGTAGCCGAGCGCGCGCAGGCATGACTTGAACTCGTGGTGGTTGAGCCGCCCGGACCGGTCCTTATCAAAGTGCTTGAACATCATTGAGAACTCCTTCAGCGCGTCCTCGCTGACTCCTGTAAACAATCAACAGTATAACTGTTAAATTATCTCGCAATATGAAGAAAACATAGGAAATAGATATAAAAGGGAGAAATAATTAATTAAAAAAAATAACAATGGTACAAATTATTTGTATTTATAAGTAGTAAGCTATTCTTTGACGAATGCAATAAAGTGCAATATCGTCATCATCATTACAGCCCTACACTAGTCCACTACTGACCATAGGCCTCCCAAGGAATGCCACAAAGAACTTCCTGCATGTCTTATTAGGTCGTTACTCCATCTAGTGGGGGAACGCCCTACACTTCGCCCGCCGGGTACGTGGCTGCCACTCGAGAACCAACTATCCCATCGGTTGTCGGTTTTTCGAACTATTTGACCGGCATATTGCCACTTCAGCCTTACTTAATCCGTTGGGCTATGTCGGTTAGTCTGTTTCTACTGCAGATATCATCGTTTTTACCTGGATATCATGATATCAAGTTTATCACCCGGAGCAACCCCGAGCATAACCCTGTCCATAGCTAGTTGAGCGACTTTGACTTTCTTTATACAGCCAGCAGTGAAGGACAACGTCTCAGATCTATAGGTCATCACTGGCAACACGCACTGTTTGAACAATCTAGTTTTGAGGTTCTGAGGTATGTCTAACGAGACGATATGTCGTAATATCCCGAACGCTGCTCAGCAAAGTTGAATCCGTCGATTGACCTCTCGGTCGAAGTTGGACTTACCTAATCGGACTATTTGTCCCAGGTAAACATACTTGTCAACAACTTTGAGCTTAGTGCTCCCAACAACTACCGGAATAGATGTGAACTTAATCTTACACATAACTTTTGTTTTATCCATGTTCATCTTAAGACCTATCCGTTGGGAGACACTATTGAGATCATTGAGCATAGTACTTAGGCCTCCAGCAATTCTTTTTTAACTGATTCTGCCATAAGGACTTATATCTTCGGCAAATCGAACGTTAGTGATGTACTCGCCATTGACGTTAATACCGTATCCTTTCCAGTCCAGTAGCTTGAAAACGTCTTCCAATGCAGTAGTGAAGAAGTACACAATGTGTGTGTGTACAAAATTATTTATTATGAAAACTGAATTGTGAATGAATTTGTGTTGTGTACTAAGCAAACCAAAATTAAACGCTCAACATTATTAAATAATATGTGAATTAACTGACCAGAATGGTTTCTGGCCTGTATCTGCTGTTCAAGATTGTGTTGCATGCGCATGGACAGTTGGTCAAGTTGGTCCCACTGTTGGGCCAGCCCCACCGTACTGTGTTCTGTATAACGGTTGTCCAAGATGAGGTGCTCTTCCAAAGTAGCGCCTGAAATTAAAGATTTATAGAAATATACAAGGTGTTAATAATAATCATATAAAATAGGAAAGTAAATATTTAATCACACATA